TAAATAATCTTGAAAAAAGAAAGAAGATAAAGAAAATATCTCTTGCCTGTAGTTGTCCCATGAAGACTATTCATAGAGGCTGATCTTTCAGTCACTTCAAACTCAGCATTAATACCGGTAAACAACAACAACTGAACAGTGTTGGGAACATTTGTCTACCCATCTAGAGCCAAGGAAAATTGCTCAAAATAATTTGCCTTGTTTTTAATTGACTGTTGATGTTGCTCCCAGTGTCATCAACTCTTTGAGCAACTGTTTTCGCCAAAAGGCAATAATCTTAATTTAAGTTTTTTTCGGGAACACTGAAATCAAACATGTTTTAATTAAATCACCATTGGGAAATGAACTTCTTTGCTTGGCTAACAAATGAGCCACTTGGAAACTTGCTTTCGTTGCAGCCTCATTTTTATTTTTAATTTTTGTGAAGAAATTTTACTATGATGAAATAATTCTGTTTAAAATATTCTAATATGTCTGACCTTTGTTTTCATGTGAGTTGAGAATACTGTGATGGTAAGTGATTAGTCTGGTAATATTGATGTTTATTGCATTCTTTTAGTAAAGTATTCTTGCTTAATAAACACCATACTTTGCCGTTTAATTTGGTAATAAAATACTCTCCACTGTATCTTAAAGGGGCACCATTCAAAGTCCACTCCTTCTCTTGTTATGGCATGATGGGTACACACCAATTTAAAAACTGTCATGGTGGGGGCGCCTGGGTGGCTCAGATGGTTCAGCATCTGCCTTCGGCTCAGGTCATGATCCCAGGGTCCTGGGATCGAGTCCCGCATCGGGCTCTCTGCTCCTTGGGAGCCTGCTTCTCCCTCTGCCTCTCTCTCTGTCTCTGTCTCTTATGAATAAATAAATAAAATCTTTAAAAAAAATAAAATTAAATTAAAAAAAATAAATAAAAAATAAAAACTGTCGTGGTGTAGGGATACCGTGGCACTCCAAGAACTACTGAGATAAAACAGCAGTGTCACTGTGATTTGTAGCACGCTGAGCAACAAAGTGATGAGAGCACCATCTATGGTCCCTGTTGCAACCACTCAGCTGTACTATTGTGCAAAAACAGTCACAGGCAACAAATAAGCAAATGAACATGATGGTGTTTCAATAAGACTTCATTTATAGGCACCGAAATTTGAATTTTTTATAGTGTCAGGAATACTATTATTCTTTCAATATTTTTCAACCATTTGAAAAAGTAATACTTCTCCTAGCTCATGGGCTGTACAAATACCGGATTGGGTCAGATTTGGCCCACAGAATTTAGTTTGCTGACCCTTATTCTAGTGTGGCATGTATGTTGAGTTGGGACCAGTATATTTTTGATTATCTATAGTTTCGCATAATATACTTAAGATTTTCTCATGCACTCTTCTGCAACTAAGGTTTGGCTCTTTGAACACCCATCTATGCTTGAAAGGATTTTATCTAAAAAAAAAAAGTACTGCAATCTCATTTGTTGCTTCAAGAAGAACAGAGAAAATAACTTGATTTTATACAACTTGTGCTTTGTTACCAATTAGTGGTTAAAGAAGCTTCCTTTTTTATGTTAGACTTCAGGAAATATTTGTAAAAGCTAAAGTATTAGGCGGCTGTGATCATTTATTCTTGTAAGCTTCTGAAATTTAGGTAGGTATAAACTTGATTATCCGGGGACATTTCAGAGTGATTAGAGTTAATTCCTTGCAATTGATCTGACGCTAATATGACTTATTTATTTCTGAATATTCAGCAACAGCTGGAGTTCCAGCTGGAGTTGGAAATGCAAGAGAAAGAGAGACAAAGAATAGAAGAACTACAGACAGCTCAAGAACAATTAGAGACGGTAATTTGAAGTTTTATAAAAAAAAAAGAAAGAAAAAGTCTGTTTTATTTAAAACCTCATAGAACCCTCAAAGTATTTCTTGCAGCTGTCATAACGTGGGATTCAGAGACGTGCCACCCACTAGCTGCGTGGCTGAGACAAGTCTTACAACTTTTTCAACCTCATTTTGCCTTTTTGAAAAAGAGGGATAACAGTGTAATATATTACTAACAGTCTCTCACTGGTTTGTTGTAAGGATCAGCTACGGTCATATGTGTGAAACTGCTCTGCAACCTTCCAATCCAGGCACAGCTGTTTGTAACTGGGGTAGCAGGTGCGCAAGGTTAAGTTCTTTGCAATAGTGAGGGTATTTGGCTTAACCGGCCGAGCCACCCAGGCGCCCCCCAGCCGGTCGGTCTCTCTTGTTCATATGTGACTCCTCTATTTATTCCATAATTAAGATTAAAAACAGAAGTAGGTTTTATAAAATATGGGTATTCATGGCTTAGACGAGAACATCATTATGTAAAGCACTTTTTTAAAAGTTGGAAGGACGAATTGAATTAAAAAAATGAGATTCTTAAAAAGAGAAATTCAAAGCTGTATACATAGTTTAAAAAAACATGTAGTTAACAAAAACAAGGATGTCGAGCTTATCTTAGTCGGAGTGCGGTAGGGTGTGCTAAGATATACACGCATGCGCATATGCCCATAAATCCATGGAGATATAGACCCCCTTTCTCTTCAGCGAAGATTCAGTGATGTAAAATGAGAGAAGAAAGGTTTCTGTTTTGTCACTTGTCACATTGGCTAATAATTTGGCTTCAGGTTTAACGTTTCAGATCATTTCATTTTTTAAGGCGTTGTGTTTAATTATAAATAAAACATAGCTTTCTATTAGTAGCGAGTGTTAAATGAGACTGCGAGTTGCAGTTTTGTACTAAATGTATCACATCACCCCTTTAAGAGTGATGACCTATTTGCTGTTAAATTGATCATAGCATTATGTAAAAATAAGACTTCTTGAAAATAAAACATGGAATCAAAACGGAAAGTGTGTTCAAATATTTTTCTTCATTTTTATATATTATAGGAGATGAGAATGAATATAGAAAATATAGCTAAGAGTGAAGATAGTTCACATTCAGAGGTGAGAAGGAAAAGTTATTCTGTGTTAAGTGAAATGAATGAGTGTCCTAGAAGGCAAAGCTTAACATTGATGCATTAGTAGCTAAACTTTTTATAAGGAAATTATCAAAATTGATAGTCCAAGTGTGTGTTCTAGTAACAAAAATTCACAAGTACGATGTGCTTTAAAGCAATATCTCAAAGTGGATAAAAATGAGACATTCGGTTTCTGTTTGTATTTTTAAAAACCAGAATGTCATGAGATATTCATTGACCATATGCTTACTTACAATGATATATCTTAGATTTCTTACTGTACTTTTTAATTAAGTTTTAGCATTTATTTCTAGAATTCTCTATTAACAGGTTGTGGTGCATTCCGTTAACGTTGAATTTTGATGTTATAATTCAGACATTTCTTAGCGAAATCAAAAGAAAATTAGTGTCTTACTTTTGAACTTGTTTAAAATTAGAAATGAATTTTAACAATTGTAGGATGTAACATCAGACTCAGGCAAAACACTAGCTGAAATTAGTGATCGATATGGGGCACCTAACCTGAGCAGAGTGGAAGAACTTGATGAGCCGATACTATCTGATGTAAGTATCTTCAAGAAAGTGGTTGGCAAAAAACAGATTTTCTTTTGGACTTTGGGAAAGCCTAGTGCATAGGAGGCCAGGGTTGGTTGGCAAATGGGCCCTTAGTGTCAGAGAAAGAAAATCAGTTCCCTGGGTGCTGACCATCTATTCCTGATGGGCCTTCTGCCCTTTGGTGAGCGTGTGCTGCCAGCCACAAGGGTCAGGGTGGGTACATATCTGGCTCCTTGCAAATGTGTCAGCACTGATGGGAGAGGAGCTGGTCACAGTGTGCCCTTGGGCAGAAGGTGATTTATATATTTTGGGCTTAGGCTTTGAAAATCTCAAAATTTCTTCAAAATATATATTTAAAATCCTTTGGTGAAATACATAATCTTTAAGTTAAATTTCCGGGGTGGGGGTGGGACAGCTAATTGATTCTTGGTGGCAAACACTAGAACCAGATAAGTATCCTAATGAAAGTGCATGCTTTTACAGTATACAAGTACATTTGCTTGATTAATAAACATACAGTGTTTTCTATGTACCAGGCACCGTGCCTGATGCTGTTGTGCATAAAACACATAGTTATTTACCTTGTCTGGGGGACGGGGGGAGGGGGGGCAGACAATCAGACAAGCAATTAATAGTCATTGCTAGAGTGATCAAGTGATTTATCAGCCAGAGAAGTAGGTTTTGAGAGTGAACAGGGGAGCTGTTAATAACTAAGCCAGATCTGCGGGTATAGACCAGGACTGTCTGGGCTGAGGGTATATTTAGTGACCTAACCATGTGCACTGACAAAGTGGGGTAGCCAGCGCAGTGGAGGAGCCCTATCAGGGAAGGCTTCCTGTAGGAAGCTGGTGACTGGTTGCTGGGGGTGGGAGGGGGAGGGTCTGAGAGCACAGCCAGTATGAGATCCCCTACCCAGGGCAGAGTGGGGGGTGTGAGGCAGTGAGGGAGGGGAGGCCAGGCAGGGGAGGGAGCAGGAACAGGCCATAAAATGCTTGGTAATTTGTGCCCAGATGAGTATGTAGATTTTATCCTAAAGCAGTGGAGGCTGATGCAATCAGCATTTTAGAAAGGCCAGCACAGAGGGAAGGATGGAGAGAGAGATGTGAGGACACCGGTTAGGAGGCCAGTGCAGTAATCCAGATTGAGATGGCATTGGCGGCCTTTCTAGAAGGGGGAGCTGAAAGGGCTTGGTGCTAATCAGTGAGTAGAAACGTTTTTATTAAAAGTCGGTGTTTTGGTACCATGCAGGGAGCTAGCGAATACCAGTGAACAGAACAAATGGGGTCCCTGCCCTCTGGGGGCTCGGGCTGGGGGACAGGTGCACTGAGAGGAGGGGCCTGGCCTGGATGAGTCTTCCTGAGGAAACAATGCTTGAGGAGTTAGCCTGAGCTAAGCGCAGCAGATGGAAGAGAGCAAGATGCTGTCAAGGAGCTGGCGTAGTTGAGCTCTATGGCTGGGTTGCACGAGCTGGGAGGTTGTGTGGCTCGAAGCTGGAGAGGTGGCTATAGGCCACATTACACTGTGCTCTGTATGTCAAGGGCAACAAGAGTTACTGAAAGGGTCTATGTAAGGACTGGAGAGGTGATTTTAGAGGAGGGAGAGAGGATTTGAGTGGGCAGGTGTGGAAAGGGGAGACCCCTTAGGAGGTTTTACGGTGGTCCAGCTGCAGGATGACCGACCAGGGCTAGGACCAGGGTATAGACAGCAGAGATGGGGAGAACCAGGTGGATTCGATATTGGCTGGGAGGATGAGGGACAGAAGGAAGACAAGGGGAATGCCCAGATTTCTGCCATGGGCAACTGGACTTAGAGCTTAATCATTTGTTGAGTTGAGGAAAGTAAGAAGAGGAAGTAGGTTTTATGAAAATGATGGCTTCATTTGTGGACATGTTGAATTTCAGGTGACCCTGAGACAAGCAGATATAATTGGCTAAAGACCAGTTGATGTGGGATACCAGTCCAGACGACAGGAGAAAGGTCCAGGCAGGAGATGGGAAGGCAGCAGTTAGGGGCTATGTGCTACATGGGGCTAGGAGAGGCAGGGAGTAAGGTACCTAGGAGAGCTTGCAGCCTGTGCAGGATGAGGTTCCAGCAAATGCATTAGAAATTCCATCATTTAAGGGGTGGATCCAGGAAGAAGACCCCATGCCAGAAGGATAACAATAAGAAAGGGGAGCAAGAGAAGTAGAAGAAAGGATGGGTTAATAAATGCTTGAGAAGGGTGCCTGGGTGGCTCAGTCAGTTAAGCGGCTGCCTTTGACCCAGGTCATGATTCCAGGGTCCTGGGATCGAGCCCCACGTCGGGCTCCCTGCTCCGCAGGGAGCCTGCTTCTCCCTCTCCCTCTACCTGCCGCTCCCCCTGCTTGTACTCTCTTTCTCTAATAAAAAATAAAAAATCTTTAAAAAAAATAAATAAATGCTTAACAACATTTGCTTGGATCTTACTTGAAATAACTTAAAACTATCAAAAAGCTTCATTTACATAGTCACAGCTCTGACTGTATTAAATCGTATTTACTTTTTATTTTGCTTTTAGGTTGCATTAAACATTGATCAAGATTTCTAGGATCAACAAACCTAAGAGCAATAAATCTTTCTGCTTGTTTCAAGTTTCAAAACATGAGGTTCCCAATTGTATTTTTTTTCCCTCTAAAGTCAGCTTTATAAATGGGCTTCATGGGTAGCCTTAAAAGGTTGTTTTGGATTCCCCAATGCAACTGGTTATTTGTAGGATTCCTCTGAGGCAGGAGAGAGAGTTGGCCCAAACAACGGAAAGGGGCAAATGAGAGATGAGCTGAAAAGAATGTGTGCGTCTGCGTGAGAACAAAATTGTTGAGGTGAAAGTTCTGGTCTGGGAGGAGTGAAAGGGGCTGCCACTGTGCAGGGCTCAGGAGTGTTCAACTTGCTTTAAATCCTGCCTCCCCCCCCTCCACCTGGAAGTGGACCACAAAGATTTCCCCAGGTTGCTAGGCAGCGATACTTTGTAGGACCATTAATCCATGCTTAGTAATGGGGCTGGATGGGGAAGGATGCAAAGTGCTGGGGTAGAGAGAAGCAGCCAGTGGGCAAAAGTACTGGTGCTGCTATTGAGGGGAGCTCTCGCTGGACACAGGCCATGCAGGGGACTTCCTTGAGTGGGCGCTGGGTCATCCATGGGCCCTGGCAGCTCTCCTGGCTCCTCAGAAGTTTCAGGCCCAGCCTTAAACTTTAGGGAGAACATTGCTTCCTTTATAAAATTCTTCCAAATCTAAATCTCTATTATGAATCCTTTCTGTTCTTTAAGAAAGGGTATAGACATGGAGACATAAATGCCAGGAAGAGGCTTCTTAAAAAAATAATAATTTGCTTCTGGTTATGACATACCTTTCCTGAGGCAATGAGAATAGAGCAGCCTAGTTGCTTAAACCAGAAGAGAAAAAGGGGGGGAAATACTGGTTTCATTAAAAAGAAATGTTATCTTGCCTATCAGTTCTGTATGTTTTTTAGAAAAAAGTCCCAGGTGCCCTGGAGAGATGGTTTCTGGGTCAGTCAAGCTATCAGGCACTGTGCCTCCCAGCATGGTTGACCTGTATCCGTCTACCCGGGCAGGTGTGTCTAAGGGAGCAAGAGAGCACAGTGTCCCTCAGGCCCTAGGCTATGAGGGCACCCTTATAGAGGGCTGGGGCTGGAAGGGCAGGCTCAGAGGACCCTTGAGCTCAGCATAGCCCAGGCCAGTCCCATGTTGGGGCTTGACAGCAAGAGTCTGTATTGGCTAGTCACAGGGGGGAGTGCTGTGGTTCTGGGGTAGGGGGTAGTCTTGTTGGAAGTGCTTCCAGCCAGATCTGGGCACAAGAGAGAGGAGGTAGAACGGGGTGAAAAAGGAGATGAAACTTTTTTTCTCAACTTTTCTCTATACCTGGTAATTTTTGATTAGATGTGAATTCTATCTTCTTGGGTGTTGGATATTTTTATTCCTATGAATATTTTTGTGCTTTGTTTCTGGATGTCATTAAGGTACTCATAAATAGTTTGATCCTTTCCGGTCTTGCTTTTAAGAAGCTCTGTTGAGTGGTACCAGAAGAGAATGGAGTCTGGGGCTGGTTTTGCCCCACCATCAAGGCAACACTCTCTGGGTGTACTACCCAATGTTGAGTGAACTATGAGAATTTTCACTTCAGTTGTGGAAAGATACACTTTTTTTTTTTTAAATTTTATTTTTGAACCAGTTTATTGAGGTAGGATTGACAGCAAGGGAAATTATTCCCAGCTCTCTTCAAGCCATGGGTACACCCTCTAATTGTTTCAGAGGTTCTTAGCTTATCCTTTCCTCATACCCATGTGTTTGTTACTCAGCTGATGACTCGGGGTGGGGGGGGGACCCTCCGGAGGTATCCCTGGACTCCCAGCTCTTTCTCCTTATTCAAGGAGACCACCGGTCTTCCTGTATGTTCTCCTCCCCTGCGATATAACTTGGCAACACTCACAAAGCTGTGCACTGGCCCAGCTATAGGGAACACTCTGTTTCCCATTCCTCAGAGCTCACTGTCATTTGCTGTCTTAGGTTTGCTGTCCTAAGAGCTGTTGTCTCATGTGTTTGTGCTGGTTTTTCATTGTTTCACATGTGAGGGCAAGTCCTGCCCCTGTTAGTCCACCTTTGCCTGAAACCAAAGTTCAAATGCCACAGAATTTTTCTCATAAAAATAACTGTTCGTCTTTGCTTTCTCCACTTTCCTAATTTGGTGAAATGTAACATGATTACTTTCTGAGAAGAATTTGGGGGTATATAATGACCTCTATCTCTTAACTTGTTTGGAACCAGGCAGAACGGGCCAAATGGGAATCAAAGAATCAACTTTACAAACGCTAAAACTACATCAGAGGATGTACTTCGGACACCAGGCCGAAGCTCAGTATCCTATTCCTTCTGGCTAGTTTGAAGAAAAGCAGCTGGAGAAATATCATTCTCTCTGGGTCAGCTGGAGAGCCCGCCTGATCTGCTTCTCACATCGGGGACAGGAGCACGGTGGGGCTGTGGCCAGTTCTGACCCCTGAGGCTTTCAGGAGCAAGAGTTCAGAGGCCAGGTTTAGCCCTGACCCATTCATCCTTCTCTTGGGAGAAGGAAGAAAAGGTGCAGCAGGCGCCTGGCTTCCTCTTCGGCCACACACTTCTCTCCTGGGAAATGACACCATATCAGTATTATTTTGGCTGAACTAAGTGACGGAAAACCCTGGCTGGAAACAGGCTGATAACAATGATCCATTGTCTCCCATGAGAAGTCCAGAGAATGGGCAGGCCCGGCTCCCTCTCTCTTGGTTCTGCCTTTCTGCTCTCTATTGGTTTCATCCCCAGGCTGTTCCTAGTACGGCTGCAGTAAATAATTCCAGGTGCCATATTCAGACATGATGGCATCTTGTGGAAGAAGAGGGGAGAGTCTTCCTGGTGTTTTTATTTATATTCCTAGACACTCCCTGGCAGCCTTGCCTTCCTGTCTCACTGATTATGATTGCATTCTACACTTATCCCCAATTTCATTGACATTGAAGATAAGGAATCACCTTCTGAAGTACTTACACTGTCATCATCTTACTGATTCATTGGTTTATGATTCATTTATTTTCAATCCATGTCAAAGAGTCACATGTAGTTACCAGCGTGGGGCTAGTGAGGCACCTAGGGTACCAAATGTAAGTGCTGACTCTGTAGTTAATCCAAACCTGAGGATGAGTGCCTCTTAATTTTTGCTGCCGAGGCACCGTTTGCCTTACCCTAGTCTTGGCACTGCCATTTACTATGGGAAATAGGATAGGGCGTGACCTTTGCCTTGCAGAGTTTTTGTGTACTTGGCAAGCACAGCTTGTGTGCACATCTAATAGGCACTAAATAGAAGTACAAATAGAAGCTAAGAATTTAGAGACAGTTATGATTTGAGCAAGCTCCATGAAAGGGAGAGCATTTCAAAAGGAACTTTGAAGGAGAGGTGAGTTTTGAATGTGTGAAAACCCAAGGAAATGTGAAGGGAACCAGGCCAAAGAGAGATGGCTAGGAACCAGATTGGGGAGGGCCTGGACACCAGCCTCCAAGGTCTGGACTTGAGACCAGGGAGCGATGTGGGGGAAGAGACCCAGGATGGCTTTGAGAACTTTTCACAAGTTTCCATTAAGGATCTGGAGGTGAAATTCCGATCGTGTGGTTAAGGGCGTGGATTTTGGTAATGAAAAGAAGGAGACTGAGGTTATCTTTTGGAGAAATTTGGTGATGAAGAGAGAGTGACCTGAGGATGTAACAGGGTTGAGCAGGGATTCTCTTCATGGGAGAGGTGAGGTTCTGCTTGTGCTCTGGCAATAGGAGAATTGATGAACCAAGAAGTAGAGAATGAAGGTGTGGCTCAGGAGGGTTCGAGCAGGGGTCCAAGGAGTACTAGGCGTGAGACAAAACTCATATGGGGAGGAGAGCACTTTTAAAATGATGTCTTCTTCCAGGAGGGAGAAAATGTAGAGAAAGACATTTTAAGCAAAAAGGATGAACATTTGAGATAGCCAAGCAGTGCAGAGTTTACATGCTCTCCGTCTGATCCTTTTCGTAAAGAAGGAGAGAAGGGCAGAGGTTGGTCAGGGAGTTGAGTGAGGATGCATTGAAAACTTATGCTAGGGGAATGGACCACTAAAATGACTGTCGGACAACTCTGTGGGCCCACTGCAAGCTCACTCATTCCACAAACACTTGATGGATGCATGCTGTGTGTCAGTTTCCTAATCTGGACAATAAGTACTAGTGCCTGCCTCTTAGCATCGTTCTGCAGATGAAATGACGTAATTCATGGAAAGCTTCTTCAGCAGTGCCTCGCACTTAGTAAGCACTCAACAGGGAGGGAAGTGATTGCTCTGCTGTCTTATGTGCCAGGTACTGTGATGGTAAGTGGAATCTTCATCAAAGTTCTTCAGTCCTGTTCTCTAGTGGCCCATAACAAACTCAGAGGGAGAGTGGGATCCGTAGGTAACAGGAGCACCTTAGAATTGAGGATTGGTAGACCATCACAGGACCACGGGGTCTGGGGTCAAGTGCGAGCAGCAGTGCAGTGTGTGGCTCCCGTGCTCGCCATCAGCTGGGTGACAGAACTTGGCTCTAGGCAAGGAGGTGAGTGACCTTGTTCAAAGAGCCGATTCCCAGCCAGGGAACGGTGGGGGGAGGGGAGGCTCAAGGTAGGAGAGGAGACAGCAGAGGGGGATAACTCACGGGAGAGGAGTCTGCAAGAGTTTGGCCCAGCCAAGCAGTCAGTCTTTATGAAGGGCTGTGGCCCTAACAAGGAACTTGACTATAAATTAGGAATAGGGTCGATGCCCATTGTCCAGCATAGATACCTACTGTAAGGACTGGGACAAGACAGAAGGGGGTTTGTGACTGGATGGAAAGGGATCAGGCTCAAAACTGGTGGAGAGGGTAGGGGACCAACGGTGAGCACTTCTTCGTGCCAGAGGCTCTACCGAGATTTCATGGGATTGTGGGTATGAGCCTGGGTTTGAATGTGTGGAGAAACGAAGTTTCAGAAAGGAACTGTTCAGAGTTGTTTGCTAATGAGTCTTGGAGCTGGCTTTGTGGCCCAGGGCTGTTTGACATAACTGCTGAATGTATTTGGGTATACTAAGAGCATTGGAAAACAGCCATGTCTAAAATAGAGTTGACTTTATTTTTACTTATATATTTATTCATTTATTTATTTTTGAGAGAGAGAGCATGCTCAAGCAGAGGGAGGGGCAGAAAGAGATTCCCAAGCAGGCCCCATGCTCAGCACAGAGCCTGACGTGGGGCTCAGTCCCACAACCCTGAAATCATGACCTGAGCCAAAATCAAGAGTCAGACGCTCAACTGACTGAGCCATCCAGGCACCTGATTTTATTTTTTTAGAAGCTTTTCCCCCTCCTCAGTTCTTTAGTATGATAGGTATCTTCATTATTGTCCAAGTGCCCAATCTATAGTGTGGGAGTCATCCTTGACCCTTCTGTGGTTATCATACTTCGAGCCCAATACAGGGAGCCTGGTATTTGCTCCTTTTTCTCTCATGTTCCAAAGCCACAGGTAGTAGGTTTCTTAGCTAGTCACTTTGCTGGTGTCACTGTTTCCACTAACTTGTCAAAATATAAGAGATCATCTTATATAACACATTATTCAGAATCATACACCAGCTACCTCCAGACTAAAGATTATAAGGGCTTATCCCAACTGCAATCAATGGCCACTCACCCTTTACCTAATTCTTCTCATTTCAACAAATCCCTCTGAGCTGGCTTCCCTCTGCGGACTTAGCTAGTTTCTGAGAGCACAACCCAGACTGAGAGGTGGTCAATGCCTTTGAGAATCACTCTTGCAGGTGGTGAGCAAGGATACAGGCAAGAGCGTAAATAAGGATGGAAGTTTGGTAGGTAGTGCTATTCACTTTTTACATAGAAGTCACTTAGAGCTTCATGGAAGTGAAAGACTCAGAACAAAATGCACCCACAAAAGAGCAGAGGTATAGAATTGATGGTGGGTGGGGAGGGCAAATGGGAGCAGATCAATGAAGATGGGAATGCCTGCAGGAAGCTTAAAGAAGAGTAGGTCTGGGCAGGGATACAGTGAGAGGGAGGTTCAGGAAAGTCCGTCTGGACGGGGTCATGAAGCACATTAAATCCCAAGCTCAGAAGTCTCGACCGTGTCTGCTGATGACAGGAATGGAAATGAGATCTGTGTGTGGAACAGCTTTGCTGGGAACGGCGAAGAGGAAGTGGCATTCTGTCACAAAGAGAGGTCTTAAGATGATTTAATTGATGGGATTTAGGATGCTTTAGGCTTAGGACGCTCTTGTCCTAGTCTAGGGCTAAGGTAATGAAGGTCTGAGCCTGGGTTGTGGCAGTGGAAAATCATTCTGTGAACATTTATTATGTATCTACTATGTGCCAAGAACTGTACTAGGTTCTGACAGGGAACACGAGTGTGAGCAATGGTTCTGCTCTAAATCATTCACAGTTTAGTAGGGGATGTCGGGAAAATTAATGATGGGTGGAGCACATTCCAGAGGGGGACTTGGAAGCTGATTGGATGGGTGTGGGGGGCGTAGGAAGAGCCTGGATCTGGAACCTTGGTGGCGCCATTGACGGCTGGGGTCATCAGGCAGAGGTGCAGGTGTGTTCTAGGGACGGGCGCCTGGCCAGCTGGGTGTGTAGCTTGGAGCTCCTTTCTGCTGGCGTCACTGACCCAGAGTGTGGTGGCAGGGTGGGGACCCTTGTTTGGGAGACACTAGAAGTGACATAATTGATACATTTTTCAAGAGACCAGAGTCTGAGCCACATAATTAACATGTACACTATAGTGTCATGTTCCAAAGTGTCATTAAAAATATTTAAGTGTGAAAAAAAATATTCAAGTGTGGACCCCTGAGAACACAAATCAAAACAAAAGCACAAACTTTTAAAATTGTGTGAAAGCTTAATTAAACCAAGAATTCAGAGATTAGTAGTACATTGAATCAAGTTTGTTTCTAATTGTGTTTTGTAACTTTCTGCTACCACTAGATGTCACAAAGATTCAGTTTTTTTTTTTTTAAAGATTTTTTTTTTTATTTATTTATTTGAGAGAGAG